TAAGGTATATAGCAAACACAATTATAGTCAGGAAAGCAAACAGTAAAATTCAATACACAATGAAACAACATAGTCATAAAACAGCAAATACAAATAATATATCAAATAGCAATAAACAGTAAGGTAAAAATAGCAAACAACCAAACTATCAGAAAAACAGCAAATCCTCAGACTCAAACTTTACTCAAAGTATCCAAACTGCAAATTATCTATCACACACACACACACATAGAACTGAAAACAATTTTTCTCCGACCAGATTGGTTTACTAATATAAACCTATTCTCCGACCAATGGTAACTTTGTCCAGGTTATCTTAGAGCGGTTTACCCTACGCGCTCCCGGCTTGATCAACCGATCACAACGACTCGGGATACACGCGGCCCCTGGCTGGCTCACCAATTTGTTGGCAAATTTACTTGACACCACATTAATTTCAAATATAGGTTTTAGTTAACGTTTGAACAGACAAATCAGCTACGCTGTATCCCTTGTACAGATATACTAGGCCACAGACAGAATTAAAATCATATTACTCACTTCTCCTTCACCTTTAAAGGTCACTTTCTTCGTGGAGGTAAATTCCCTCAACCCCGGCACAGTAGATACAGTGGAATCGATAGATTCCTCTGGGAAGTGCGCTGAACCTCTACACAACTCCCAACTATGTCAAAGTTACATCTTTCTTGCATGTGTTTCCAACTCCACCTCTCCTCGACACAGAGATAGCCCTTCTTCACAGAGAGAGAGGTATTGAACTACGTCTCTGCAGCCTTCCACAGCTGCTTGTTTTTCAGCCTTGAGGTTAGACAGGTGGTGAGACTGCAGCCGTTTAATCAGAAACTGACCTCAACCGGTCCAGCGCAACTACTTTTAAGCCCCATTCAGTTTGCTCTTTGAAATATACCAATGCATCTCAAGGTGATGGTATATTTCAATATTCTCCACCTTGAAAGTGAGAAAATAAGATTTGCAATCTCTCATTTTTCTATGATTTGTTAATGGTCAGATATGGCTTAATGGTCAGATATGGCTTAATGGTCAGATATGGGTTGGACAATCATAAAAGCATAAGACATGAATGATAAAATGCTGTTCAGTACAATGAATTAATCAGATTGATACAGCGGCTGTGATTAGGAACCGACTTGTTCATGTGGTTCGATCAATGTTGGTTGTAGAATATCTCTTCTTAAGATCGGATAGATTTGTCTTCTTCGTTCACAAACGTAGACCTTTTTAGTCACGTAAGCCAAGTCTGGAGCGAGACATTCAACAGCATCCTCCCGACGTGAAAGGCGCTCTATAAACGTAATTTTGTTGTTGTTGTTATTTTTCTTAAGACAATAATTTCCTGCCCCATTTCCTCTTCTTTAAATGTGAAGGAGGAATATTGCAGATGCTTTGCCAGAGTGAACAGAGGGTGAGATCAAGCTACACAGAGGAAATGGTCTCTCCGAGTGCACAAATGAACATCGGTGAGTCTATCGTGTGTACAGTTCTGCACGTCCAGGCTTGACTGTACAAACTCCCTGCTCGTCGGCCTCCCGAACTCCTCCCTTCATAGGCTGCAGATCATACCGAACTCTGCAGCCCATGTCCTCTCCCTCACCAGGCTTCGCAACCCTATCTCCCCCATCCTCGCCCGACTCTACTGACCTCCCATCACACAGAGGATACAGTTCAAGATCCTGGTCCTCACTTTCAAAGTCCTCCATGGTCTTGCCCCCCCCACCTCTACGACCTTCTAACCCCCTATCAGCCTGCCCTCTCCCTTCGCTCAGCGGGCTCCAGGCTGCTTCACGTACCCACATAGCCCGCCCCACCGTTGGTGGGCGGGCCTTCAGCCACTCGGCTCCCACCCTTTGGAACTCCATCCTGCAGTCCCTCTGCCTCACCCCCTCCCTTGCCTCCTTCAAGACCCGTCTCAAGACCCTCCTCTTCAACCATGCCTTCGATCTCCTTCCTTCCCTCCACTGTCTTCCAACTTCCCCAATCCCGAACCCCCAGCTCGGGTCCGAAAAAAATGTTTGTCCAGCGCCTTTGGACGTCCTCCCAATATGAAAGGTGCTATACAAATGTAATTTTTGTTTATATGTTTGCTTGCACTGCAGTGTCAGCCCTTGACTCCCTCTGTTCCACCATTGGTCACCTCCTAACCCCTTATTTCAGCAATTTCACCCGCATCCTCAGCAACTCTCTGCCTCAATGCCTCCACCTCACCGCCTCTTTATCTATCTTCAATTCTCCATCTTAAGACTTAGCTGTTCGAAGAGTGAAGGGAGTTTCTTTCCTGGTGTCCTGGCCGACAATTCCTCAAATAAAATTGGTCACTCACTCCACGGTTGGTTGTAGGGACATCTCTCTGTGCAAATTAGCTGCTGTGTTCACCCACAAAAACAGTTATAGCATTTTACAGTATATTTATTCTGTGAAGAGCTTTGCGACGTGCTCCCGGTGTGAAAGGTGCTGTATCAAATGTAAGGATTATTGTTATTTTTATTGTTAGTGAGAGGGAAGTGTAATTGATTTTCTGTGTCTCATCCTAGGCTGATGGCAGTGGGAGGTTTTGTGAACATTAATGGCTTCATCAGTCTGTGTGTGAATCATCCTGTGGACCCGAGGCAAAAGGATATATCTTTCTCTTTACCCAGAGGGAATTAGCAACTGGCACAGGGTGGCCAGGAAGGGAAGTTGAGGCCAAGAGGCTGCGGCTCATTTAAAAAGCAGCTCGGTGCCATGATGGGGTGATGATCGGGCAGATGTTAATAATAATAATAATAATCCTTGCATTTGATATAGCGCTTTTCACGTCGGGAGGATGTCCCAAAGCGCTTCACAGAACACACTGTTAAGTGAATTGACTGTATATTTGTGGGCGAACGCGGCAGCCAATTGCGCACAGCAATGTTCCAAAGGTGATGAGATCAGATACACTGAAGGGTCTTCCTCCTCTTTTTAGGAAGTACTAATCTTAAGATAACCACACAACCCTCCTAACCACATTGTGTTGTTTGTATAATGTGCTCTGTTTCCAGGGCTTCAGGCTCTATAATAATAATAATAATAATCCTTGCATTTGATATCGCGCTTTTCACGTTGGGAGGACGTCCCAAAGCGTTTCACAGAACAACAACAACAACAAGATTCCATTTATAAAGCGCCTTTCACGTCGGGAGGACGTCCCAAAGCGTTTCACAGAACACACTGTCAAGTGAATTGACTGTATATTTGTGGGCGAACGCGGCAGCCAATTGCGCACAGCAATGTCCCACAAACAGTCGTAGATTGAAAATGACCAATTTATTATTGTTTTGGTTTTGGAGGGATTATTATTAGTAAGGAGTACTAGTAAGTGTGGAGTAAGGAAACTTGCCCGAGGTTTCGCCCTCTGCCTGGAATTGAACCCAGGTGTCTCGTTTGCAAAGCTCTAACCACTGAGCTGCAGGATTCTCTCACCTCGTTGCACTGCTCTCCCTAAGCACCCTCCCACCCCCACACCATGACAGCCGCCTGACTCTTTGATCGCCCGCTCTTAGTCTTGGATTACATCATTTGACAGTCACCCCTTACCCGAGTGCCTTCCCCCTAAATGCCCCCTCTTGTCCCCTATCCTCCATTATTCCCGTTCCCTTCTTGTCCTCCCCGCCTTTTCTCCCTCTTGGAGCGTCCCATAGCTTCCCTCTTCTAGCCAAGGCTCTATCCCTGGTCCTCTCCTTTTTAAGGAGGTACAAACCCTTCACTGTCCAGCGCCTTGCGACGTCCTCACGTCATGAAAGGGCTATGTAAAGGCAATTTGGTGGTGTTGTTCATTTGAACCAATCTTGTTCTTGTGATATTAAGAATCACATTAAACAGCTTCCATAAGGTCAGATACCCTCGACCATCCACCACTGCCCCCCCCCAACCCCAGCGCTGCACTGGGGTGTCAGCCGAGACCAGGAGCAGCCAACTTTCTTGGTAGGGCAACCAAATATATTTTCCTTTGTTGATTTTTTTCTTCATTTATGGACCCGCTTTTTTTTGTTCAGCCGTGAGTGTGCCGATTGCACCCATCGCCATACAAAATATAGCAGCTCGGTAGCTAATGGAAACTGGATTGCCCTGGATTGGGACGGAGTTTGTCGGCCGCTTCTTGCCGCTCGAAGAAGTCGCTTGCGATTGACCGGCTGGGGTCGGTGGCCTGGACCGTGTGAGCCCAAAGGACTCGATGGCATGAGCCCAAACACCCACAGCCTTCTAGCGCAGAGGTGAGAGCGCGATCGATCGACCGACCACTCCACGAGCTGACAAGAAAAAAGAATCCCAACTTTTGAACCCCAAAAATTATGTTTTTTGTAGTTTAAACGAAGCTCTTGAGCAACTGAGCGAGAAGCTGCTTTGCGGAGAACAATAAGGTCTGCTGTTGGTGAAAGTCCTGTAGCTCAGTGGTTAGAGCACTCGCTTTGCAAGTGAGAGACCTGAGTTCAATTCCCGGCAGGTCAGGGCGAGACCTCGGGCAAGTTTCCTTACTCCACACAGAGCCTAATAATAATCCTCCAAAACCAAAAACAATAATAAATTGGTCATTTTCAATCTACGACTGTTTGTGGGACATTGCTGTGCGCAATTGGCTGCCGCGTTCGCCCACAAATATACAGTCAATTCACTTTACAGTGTGTTCTGTGAAGCGCTTTGGGACGTCCTCCCGACGTGAAAAGCGCTATATCAAATGCGAGTATTACTATTATTATTATTAAAGGATAAATGTTCGCAATCCCCTTCGTCATCTTCCTTCCCTCCTGCTTTCCCCCCACCCCCTCCCTCCAGCTCAGTGCCCCCTCTGTCAGGCCAATTCTGTTGCCTGAGTGCCATCTCCCATCCCCGAGTCAGCGATTTATTGTCGGCGGTCAGTAATTGTGCAGCGGGTCGCGCCCTACCTTTAAAGGCGCCCCCTTTAACGCCCTCCTCCGCCGCCGTCGGCGGTCCAGTCACCCGGTGCGGCACAGCGTGGGGAGGGGGGGATTTAAAGGCGAACGTCCTCTTAAAGGGTGTTTGCGTTGTCTTGGCCGACAAATAAATAATCGCGCCTCTCTCCCGCAGTCACACGAAGCGAGAAAGGGTTTTTTTTTTGTGTGTGTGTGAGTGTGTGTGTGAGGGGGGAAGCAGCAGAGAGTTAACCCGCGTCGCGCTCGGGACAGAGGGGGTGTGTTGCGTCGCCTGACGGCGCTGCCGGGGAATTAAAGTCGGAGGACGGCAAATGGTCCTTAAGACGCGGAGCCGTTCCTCGCGCGGCGCCCGCCATGGCCTCGGCTCCTCGGCCCCGACCCCGACCCCTCGCGCCGCTGCTCGTGGCGCTGACCGCCGCCGCCGCCGCCTACTTCGCCGAGGAGCGCTGGGCGCCCGAGTCCCCGCTGCTCAGGCCGCGGGTGATGGTGGCCCTGATCGCCCGCAACTCGGCTCACAGCCTCCCGCTCAGCCTCGGAGCCCTCGAGCGGCTCCGCTACCCGCCCGCCAGCCTCGGCCTGTGGTGAGGGGCCGCCCGGGGGGGGAGTGGGGGGGTGTGGATGGGGGGAGTGTGTGGGGGTGTATGGGTTGGTGGGGGGGTGTGGGGGTGTGGGGGGGTGTGTGTGGGGGTGTGGGGGGGGTGTGGGGGTGTATGGATGGGGGGGGGTGTGGGGGTGTATGGGTTGGTGGGGGGGTGTGGGTGTGGTGTGGTTGTGGGAGGATGGGCTCGTGTTGGGTGTTGGTTTAAAGTGATTTGATTGATTTCAAACCCATTCTGTATGAGGCATTTTGTCTCTGAAGCGGTGAATACTGTTGCAGTCAAACCTGTCCTCACCGCCCGACTCCGGAGCCCTGAGTCGGGGTCTGTAGTGCTGTGCTCTGCGGAGCCGTTCCTGGGCGGTCACTGACTGGAGGTGGTTGTTTTGGACAGGTTTGACTGCAATAATCTTTAAACTCGTAATAATAATAATAATAATAATCCTCGCGTTTGATATAGCGCTCCTCACGTCGGGAGGACGTCCCAAAGCGCTTCACAGCGCTTCACGACTGTAAAGTGAATTGACTGTATATTTGTGGGCGAACGCGGCAGCCAATTGCGCACAGCAATGTCCCACAAACAGTCGTGGATTGAAAATGGCCAATTTACTGTTGTTTTTGGTTCGCACATTGTCATGTGGCCGAGACGCCTCAAAACCACTTCACGTGATTAACTGGCGCGACCGCGTATTCTGCTCGCGTTGTGGATTAAGAAATCGGATATCACAAAGGGTCGGGTTGACTCGTCGATTGCGCTCTGGCCTCGGCTCGACCGGCTCCGGCCTCCTGCATGTCCCGTGTGCCCTCCTTTCCACCACCTTTCCACTGTGGAGTCCTGTGGCTCAGTGGTTAGAGCACTCGCTTTCCAAGTGAGAGACCTGAGTTCAATTCCAGGCAGAGGGCGAAACCTCGGGCAAGTTTCCTTACTCCACACAGAGCCTAATAATAATCCCTCCAAAACCAAAAACAATAATAAATCGGTCGTTTTCAATCCACGACTGTTTGTGGGACATTGCTGTGCGCAATCGGCTGCCGCGTTCGCCCACAAATATACAGTCAATTCACTTTACAGTGTGTTCTGTGAAGCTCTTTGGGACGTCCTCCCCACGTGAAAAGCGCTATATCAAATGCGAGGATTATTATTATTATTACAGGTCGCGCCTGAAGACCTTCCTCTTCGACTGTGCCTACGGTCACCTCCCCCTCCCCACAGCTCAGCGTTGAGCTCCGCCACTGTCAAATGCTCTGGGATCCTACTCTGCATGAGGGGCGCTGTGTAAATGCACGTTGTTGATGTTGCCTCTCTGCCCCCACTCTCTGGAACACCATCCCACAGTCCGTAGCCGCGCCCCTTCCTTTGCCTCTTTCAAGACCCGTCTGAAGACCCTCCTCTTCGACTGTGCCTTTGGTCACCCTCCTACCCCTACCCTTCCCGTCCTCCACCCCCTCCTGATCCCACCCGCAGCTCGGGTGCGGATCCCTGACTGTCCAGCGCCTTGGGACGTCCTCCAGACGGGTTGTTATCGTTGCATCAGATGGTTGTGGGTTCATGTCTTATAACACCGACTTCAAACTCAGCACAGGCTGAGGGAGCAATGCATTGACGGACATTGAACCGAATTCCTGTCTGCCCCATTCAAGGGGTTGTTAAAGATCCCGCGGTGCTGTTGGAAAAAAGGAGGGGGGGGGTTTTCTCTCCCGGCTCCTGGCCAATATCCCCCACCGTTATTCCATTAGTCACTTCATGGCTGTTTGTGGAATGTTGCCGTGTGCAAACTCGGCGGCTGCGTTCACCTGTAAGTCTACACTTGACTTAATTTGAGATAAGATTCACAGCACATATTTCAGAAGTGAGTGGATTCTGGTTTCAAATGGCTTTCTTCCCGTGCGTACACGTTTGGTCCATTGGAAAACAAATGGGCCATTTGCCCCGGAGCTGAAAGTGATTTGACGTTTGTGGTATTGAGATATTTCAAAGACTTGACACGTTCGACGACTCTGCAACCTGATACTCGCCTGGGTAGTATTTAGTATTTAGTTAAAAGGGGCCCCGGCTCAGCCATCTGCAGCTCTTTCTAAATGCCATCCATATCCTTCTTCACTCCGTGGGCTGCTCCGTGTGTCGGCCTGCTTCAGACCGCCTCACTCTTGCCCCCGAGTCGGAAGACAGTGGGTTCAAGCCCCGTATTGTGACTTGGAACCCGTAAAAGTCTAAGCTGACGCTCAGTACTGCTTGGAGGAACTGTCCTTCGGCTCAGTCGTTGATTACTAAACTCCCTGCCTGTGCCCTGTTCGGGTGGACGTTTAAGATTAAAAAAGAGAAGCGAGTTTCTCTCTCCGGTGTCCTGGCCAACTGGATTAAATGAATCGTTTATTTCCTGGCTTATCTTGTGGGATGTCGCTGCGTGCAAAACCGGCCGTCGCGTTTGCCTACGAAAGAGATAGTGGATGCCTTTTTACTTTCCAGTAAATCTGTTGAGATGGTGTTATGTGGTGCGATGTCAAATGCAAGGATCATTAGATTGATATTCAAAACTAAGATAGATTCTGTTTCAATCGCAAGAGGTTGTGAGGCACGAAAATGCTCTTAGCGCCTGTTTATTTAGTGATTTTTTCCCGGCTTTGAACTGTGGATTTCGTGCATATTTGCGTGCAGCAGCGCTGAACATCCGTACCTCAAGGCAGTGCTGGTTTGACAGATTATAAACTTGTTGACAAAGTTAAGGTTCGCCGTCCTTTAACACCGTTGCTCTTGCATTGAAGAAGATGTTACGTTTTCGGGGAGGACTTGCGGAGTCCTGTTGTTTGTCAGCCCGAGGCTTCCGCTTTGCCCGGTTGTGTTGATTGAGAGCTGGAGAGTTTTAGTTCCAGAATAACACCTGCAGCGACGTGCCAGCACATGGACCCTATTGCGGTGTGTGGGTTTGTGATTATGGCTTCCTTTCAATAAAATACTTTGGGTAGCTTGTCATGTGGTGAGCCTGACTGCGATAGTGATTGATTGTGAGATATACTTGGGGTTTTCTCTGTCTGGCTCTCTCTCTCTCTCTGGCTCTCTCACACTCCGTGACTGTCTTTCTCACTCACTCTCTCTTACTCTGTGGCTTGCTCTCTCTCTCACATACTCTGCGACTCTCTCTCCCTCTCTGTCTCTCTGTCTCTCTCGCACTCCGTGGCTCTGTTTTTCTCTCTCTCTCGCTTTGTGGCGCTCTGTCTTTCTCACTCACTCTCTCGTCTTTTTCACACACCACTGTGACCCTCTCTTTCGCTCTGCGTCTCTGTCTGTATCTCTCACTTACTCGCTCTGTGGCTCTCTGTTTATCTCTCTCTCACTCACTTGCTCTGCGGCTCTCTGTCTATCTCTCGATCACTCGCTCTGTGGCTCTAACATAACGTGTAGGAGCAGGAGGAGGCCATTCGGCCCTTCGAGCCTGCCCCGCCATTCAATCATGACTGATCTTCTAATCTAACTCCGGCTAATAACCTGACGCTGCCTTATCCCCATATCCCTTCATCCCTTTTGCAATAAGGCTCTCTGTCTACCTTGTGTGTGTGTATCACTCACATTCTTGCTTTATCCAGTCTCACACACTCCCTCTTTTCCCAAACATCCTGTTGCGATCACCTCACTCTGCGTGTAAACGCTGAGCGCGTAAGCACGACTCCATTTTAGAAACCATGTGCGAGTTACTTTGTGGTTGAGTTGGGGCGTTAGAGGTGCCGGTCAGAGCACGTGGGCGGCTGTTCCGTGCAAACAGCTCCCGCAGCGAAGGCTGATTGAAACGAGAGGTGCTGACGTGTTACAACTAGCATGTAATTATGGCGTTTTAATGCCTATTGGAGATGTACAGACCACCTAACCAGCCACCCGCAATTTCAGTTACCTGGGACCGAGCAGCTATCCTGCGTTTCAGTCGGTCGCACTCTCATGTCAGAGTTACAGGGTTGTGGGTCCAAGCCCCATAAGGGGGTTTAGAACTTGTGTGGTCTAAGGTGACACTCCAGTGCAGTGCTGGGATGTGTTGCACTGTTGGAACTGCTGTCATTCGGGTGAGATATTTTGACCAGTTGCTCTCCGTGCCTGTGCAGCTGGATGTTCACCTCATTTCTAATCGGTTATATTTTGCAAGGAGCTTTTGAGATCACAGCTGCTGTGTGTGTGTGGCCTTTCTAATCAGGTTACTGACCGGGGCTTCGAACCCGCGCTCACTTCAGGTGAGACGTTAAACTTCTCTTCCCGTCTGCGCCCTGTTCAGGTGGATGTTAGAGATCTCGTAGCGCTGTTGAAGAAGAGAAGGGAGTTTCTCTCTCCTGGTGTCTTGACCGACAATGCCGCAGATACGACTGGTGACTCACTTCATGGCTGTTTGTGGAGACGTTGCTGCGCACAAATTGCTGCCGCGTTTCACCCACGAAACAACACAGTACCTGCGCTTTGCAGTATAGCTTGTGGTGAGCTTTGGGACGTCCCCGTGATATGAAAGACGCTGTTCCGTTGATCACTTACCCAGGGTAATAATTCAATTGTCAACTAATTCACAATAATTTTTTATTATTATCCACAGGCAGTGCCAATCCTCTTCCTGGGCCAATCCTTTTCCCTTAACTTCATACCAGGAGGAGAAAAAAAAAAGTTTTTAAAACGCTAAGAATTGGAATTGCTCTTTTTCTTTCAATTCCCAGCGAGGCAGGAAGCCACACAGGGAGAGAGACAGATAGACAGATGTCGACATTGGAGACATTGACTGGTTCATTTGCTCTCTGTGGTTCCTTTCAATGCATTGCTAGCAGGTCCCTCAGGCTCACCATCTTATCTGAAAGGGTTGCATTGTTTAATTCTCTCCCCCGCACACACACACACCCCCCTCGCCTCTCCGTTTTCTAAATACGGCCTCAGTAACTGCGAGTGCCGCCCTGACAGGACTGAGACCATACTGTAATCTAAGTTGTGCTTAAAATTCACACGGGAATTGGTTGTAGAAGCTG